ACGTGTACGAGTATCGCTACTTCAATTAACTATAACAGTTTATCGATTTTATGTAACTTTTTATTTCTTTGGACTATAAATATGTCGAGACATTAACGAACGGCTGAAATAATAATAATTATCAATATGGAGGCCGAATCTATAGTTTTTATAAGTTTTGTCTGTCTGTCTGTCTATCTATCTGTCTGGGAACGCGTCCCGAGAAAACCACTGGACAGATTTTGATGAAATTTGATATTATGATAGCTGGGTATTCGAATCAACATATAGGATAGTTTTTACCGCAGGAAAATATCTCATCTCTGAGAAATCCATACTAACTGCTTAAACACTTCTAGGGACAAACCCGAGCGAGCGAGGATGAGTCGCTAGTAAGCTATATTTTTGTACTGTTAATATCAATCGTGTTTTGATGAAAAACAAACATGTTATAATTGAATACCAAAAGTTTTAAAACACGTAGTATATCATTAAAAGCTTGTTTACAATTACCAACAAAGGTTATAAACAAGCATGCAGGTGTAATATTAATAAAATACGAAGAAAGTTGTCCACTTTGCCTTTGACAGACCATTTAAAGCGTGGTCGCGATCGTAAAAACCTCGAGTAAATAAAACTATGTGCAGATTATGCTAATATTAGAAGCGAAACGGAAAGTTATTTCATTTCCTTCCATACTAACTACTGCTTGCGGTTTAACTCTTGTATTTTTATTGTATTTAGCCCGTTTTAGCGTTCCATAGCTGGGCATGGGCCTCCCATCAATATGAGATGAATCAGGCCATAGTCCACCACGATGGTAAAGTGCGATTTGACGGACTTTTATTAATATATATATAATAAAGTATGTGTATGTGTGTTTGTTACTCCTTTACGCTATAACGATCATGAAATTTTTATCGATGTACCTACAATGCCAAATAAAACAAAGCTATAATAATATGTTGTTATTACTAGCTGTACAGCAAATTTCTAATAAAATAAATTTCGCCCAATAGATCTCAAGGCGCAAACATATACACAGGACCCCTCCAGTGATATACGGACAAATAAACATGTAAAAATTATGGATTTGGCTTTTATATACCAAATATTATGCGATATATTCTCTTTACAAAAATAAACGTACAACTTGACATAACTACATATATATATATATATATATATATATATATATATATATATATATATATATATATATATATATATATATATATATATATATAAGATATTAACAGTAGTTTCACTTTATTCTATTTGTGTTAATGTATGTTTCTGTGAAGATAATATAGGCTAGATTTATATCCGGATACCGGTAAAAATAGGAAGGTTTAATATGTCCGAAACAAGTCAGCCAGTTGCTTTTTTTGGTGACTTATTAAGATTCTTATTCAAGTCTTTATACTTATACTAGCAGAACCCGCGGCTTCGCTCGGGCTAAAACTACAAAAAAACCTCTAAACAGGTAGGTTTCGTACAAACTTTCAACCCCTATTTTAATTCTGATCAAAAATATTTTTTGTGTTGTATTATAACGTGTTTTCCCGTGGGAATGAGATAATCTTCCGCGATAAACAATAGCCTATGTCACTCTCCAGTCCTCCAAATATATTCACACAAAAAATCACGCCAATCCCTCCGCTTCGAAGTGAAAAAAGGACATACAAACAAACACATTTTCACATTTATAATATAAATAATATAGGCTAACGATAAATTTTTAGCATTCACTAAAGTTAGATAGATATATTTTAAAGTACACAACAAAAGAAATATGCAAAAGAAGAAACAAACAAATGAATGATGCACAATGCACAGGAGAAGTTACCTTTTTTTAAAATATTGCCCTCTCACTCTTTTTTTCCATTATATACATTACACTATACTTAACGACTATATTATTCATTATGTTAATATTATTTGTGTTGAAGCGTAAGCGATATTGAAGCGTTGAAGAGTCAACAAATAATTATAAAATAAATAAAGAAATTTACTTTAAAAGCACAAATAATGATAAAAATAATAAAACAAACAAAATAAAATTGTAGTACTACTATATACTTCTACTATTTTAAAACTCGATCAAAATAACTAACGACGAAACTTTCATCATCATTATAACATCTTGGGAATTAAACGTAAAAGCATCTAGAAAATTCGTTATCTAAACAAACTTTAGTAATATAAATGATAAACTTTGAAAAGTTTTAAATCTTCGACAATAGTTTTTGAACATTAAACAAGAAAGTTAAATTGGAGCGCTGATAAGAAGATATTTGTATTATTATTCAATTAAATCTTACAATTTTTTAGGACGACTGTTATAAATGCGATAGTTTGTGTGTATTCAGCCCTTTCTTTAACGGCCCTTTACTATAAAGGGGCCATAGTCCATAACCATGGCGAGGTTTCTTCTTCATCATGTTTTCCTTCACTGTAAGACAAGTGCTAATTATTTTAAGAATGATTCGCACATGAAAATATCAGAGGTGCGAGACCCAAAATTTGAACCCGCTTCACTCGGTCTCCCAAGCGAGCGCGTTACCACTGGGCCACCACTGCCGTTATTGTATGTGTGTATGTTCCTCACACTGAAATGGCTAGACGTTTTTCAATAAGAATTAGTACACGGATACACTATGACCTGGAGTAGCATGCTGTTAGTCATCTTAGGAGACAACCGAGCGAAATGACTGTAACTCGTTAATGTACTCATAATTAAAGATAATGCTGTTTTCCTTAATGTTAATATGCGTTTGCTCTAATTTTATTTTGGAAAATATGTTAATATGGATACATATTTCATTACAATTGTAAATATATAGGCCCAAATCACTTTTTTAATACTTTCCCTCGTTCGTTCCTAGTTACGTTTTAAGGTTTAGTATAGATTTTCAGAGATAAGACATTTTCTCGCAGTAAAAAGTATCCTATATGTTGGCTCGAATAACCAGCTATCATCATATCCAATTTAATCAAAATCTGTCCAGTAGTTTTCTCGTGATGCGTTCCCAGAAAGACAGACAAAAATTCCAAAAACTATAGGTCTCTGTTTCGATAATAATAGGTAATTCAATAAGATTTTCCAAAAAATATTTAATGAACAGATGCGACTCAGAATTTATTTATATGTATAGATTATGGTAGTATCTCTAATAGCAGTAAAGAAGATTCTAATAAACTTTCTCTCATATTTCAAGTGTGTGGGACACTCTAGGTATACCACTTATCGGGAAACTAAAGAAGCTCGGTTTATAAGGCATTATATTTTAGTATTAACTTAAATCAGTTTTAATGATACGTTTTATCTTAATGCATTTTATTTATAAATTTATTCGCAAAGATATTTTCTTCCTAAGAATCTTGATTAAATAAATAAATATGTTCGGACACTAACACACAGCACCATCTAGTTCCATGGTAATAGTAGGGGAGCCCAAGAGGGGATTTTTGTAGTTACTCAAGCGCGGCAGATTAACATAAAAGAGGTTACCTTGCACTCTATTGAGTACTTTCACCATAATATAAGTCTTCTATATAAAGGCGCGCGTCTAGGGAAGCCGATCAAAATATTTAAAAAATGTTTTGATAAGATAGAAATACTTGAAACCGTCAGATTAAGGTGTGGTAGGCTAGTCACATCCTGAAAAGTGTCCAATTCAATAATCTGCCGATTTGCACAAGCCGAAGAGGCAAAAATCATCATAAACTTTATAGTCAATTTTACTTAATAGAGTGCAAGGTAACCTCTTTTATGTTAATCTGCCGCGCTTGAGTAACTACAAAAATCCTCTCTTGGGCTCCCCTACTATAAGCTACGAGGCCTGTGTTATATCACTTTAAATATATACATATTATAAATATAAACACCCATGACTGGAGTACAAACATTCGTACTCATCACACAAATGAATCCAGCGGGACTCGAACCCGCGACCGCTGGCACAGTGTGTAGAGTCACTTCAAACTGAGCCAAACGTGTCGTCAAATATCGTTTTAATACTTTCGATTATATACAATAAGATACTATACAATTTTATACATATTTATAGATTTTATATGATCAATTGCATCATAAATCTTTTATTTCCATATAAAAAGTGAAGTTAATAGCGATTACATCGCCTAAGCTTCCAATACATAATTGATAGCCTGTAATTAATTATTTACGTAGTGTTATGTTTTTGTAATAATATTACAAAAATATGTTACTAATATTTATTGACGAGATTTATTTCCCTGGAGTGTGGAGCGGAGTTCAATTTCGCAGAGTAGATCAAAAGATATGATATATGATGTGCTTGTAATATAAAAAAAAAGGTCATGTTGTTTTCTAGATGAAAAGTAAGCTGACACACGAAACCGACTTTCAATACAATTTCAGTTGAGCACAGATTTCTTCAACAATGTCATGTAGAATGGAGAAGAAAAATTAAATTTAAATAAAAAGAAAACAAATAACATATTTTTCAATCATCAGATAAAAAAATCATAAACTTAATTATCAAAGACAAGAGAGAGAGAGAGTCAGTGGTAGCCCAGTGGTAACGCGCTCGCCTGGGAAACCGAGTGAAGCGAGTTCAAATCCCGGGTCTCGTACCTCTGATATTTTCATGTGCGAATCATTTTCAACATGATTACCACTTATCTTAACGGTGAAGGAAAACATCGTGAGGAAACCTGCATGTCTGAGAGAACCTAGCAAGTTTTCAAAAGACATGTGAAGTCCGCCAACCCGCACTTGGCCAGCGTGGTGTACTATGGGCCTGGTTCCCCTCGTACTGAAGGGAGGCCCGTGCCCAGCAGTGGGACGTTAAAAAGGGCTGAATACAAACTTAATTATAATCTCCCTGAATATAAATATGAAACAATTGAATTTTTTTATTCATTGAACTGTAATTTCTCCATTGTTTTGTATGTTGAAATTTATTGTATATAACTTAATGTTGTTATTGCTTGAAGAATGAACCCTAAAGCTTTGAATGTGTAATGGAACTTACGGATCTTTTCTGATGATGATGATGTTCGAGCTTCATGTTTGCACAACGATTGAGAGCGGTCAACCGTCTGAAGAGCGACTGTAGAGAGTCCGCGTCCAAAAACGGATGGTCGTTTTGAACTCCTGACACGTCGATTGGAAACTGGAGATCTGTAACAATAACAAATATTAATAAGTTAATATATAAAATAATATTCTTATAGAAAATTACGGATATATCAAAAAATAAATTATTTTTAATTAATGTCATATTTCGCCAGTTATATACCACTGTTATCATAAAAAAAATTGTGAATCAGTTTTAACCTCAAGATGACTTCACAGTTCTGAAAAAAGTTTAGATATTTAAAGGTTACTATTAGTATTTACAATAATTGTAAAAATAGATACTACCTTATCCGTTTCTTCTTTATTTTGGGATAATATGTACTAAAAGTCTACCTAATATCGTGCGTTGCTTTAGATCCAGTACAAAAAAAGTTTAGATATTTAAAGGTTACTATTAGTATTTACAATAATTGTAAAAATAGATACTACCTTATCCGTTTCTTCTTTATTTTGGGATAATATGTACTAAAAGTCTACCTAATATCGTGCGTTGCTTTAGATCCAGTACAAAATTTCATTTTTCTAAATTCAGCGGTTTTTCTATGAAAAAAGTACAGCTTAGGTTATATTTTTTAATTAAAAATTATCCACATCGATCTCTATTTTTTGTGACACCTTTGATAATTTTTAATTTTGCAAAACAGTGTACATACAATATACACATACATACATATGTGTATTCATACATATATTGGTACCACTGAACGAGGTCTCTCAGCCAGCGTTAGATTTTTATTACGAAGATTTCATTGGAACTGTCAATGAATTGTCAAGTGTAAGAGGGGTGTATCGTGTCACAATTTGTTTATTTGCTCTCAACGTGTTCTGTTAAACCACGCGAGAATTATAATAAACTAGCATTGCCCGCGGCTCCGCTCGCGTTCAGATGACCAAAAACCAAATTTTTAGATTTTACATATTAGTATACTCTTATATTGCAGTTTTTGTATTTTTTTCTCAAAAATGAGATATTTTCCCACGGTAAAAGTATCCTATATGTTGACCTGGATGACCAGCTATCACCATACCAAGTTTGATCAAAATCCCTCCAATGGTTTTTCCGTGATGCGGTAACAGACAGACAGACAGATAGATTGACAGACAGGCGGACAGACAAAAATTCTAAAAACTATTGATTCGGCCTCTTTATCCAAAATAATGTGTATTTTAATAAGATTTTCCAAACAATATTTAATGTACAGATTCGGCTTAGTTACAATTTTATTATATGTATAGATTTTTCACATTTCATATAGATTAAATTTCGACGTTGAGACCGATCGTAAGCTTTCGCACGATAAATCACACGAGATACCAGATTTTTGTTCAATGACCTCAGTAACAACCGATTACTTCGGGGATGAGGACATATAATTTACAACTTGTTCGTGACTCTACCCGTCATAATATTTTTTATTTCAGATTATCGATCTTTCTTTCATACTTACTGTATTTATTATAATGAATTATAAGTTTTTTGAAATTTTGAGTTGGTAAATTGAAGTATATTTTTAATGCAGAATTTTTAATGGTAAAATATTTAGAAACTTAAAAGTTAATTTAACGCTGCTATTATTTTATAGCTAAAAGAAGAATTTGGGGTACTTATACATATATTTTTTATACATGGGGCTATTTTTGAAATATATTGAAATTTTATCTATACTAATATTATAAAGAGGTAAAGTTTGTGAGTTTGTAGTGGGTAATCTCTGGGTCTACTGAACCAATTTAGGATACTTTTGATCTCGGAAATTATCCCGTAAAGGGGTGAAAATGGGGATGAAATTTTGTATGGGGAATCAACCTAGGGACGAACCCGAGCGAAGCGAGGGTGAGTCACTAGTATAGAATAAAAGGTATTTACATTGTCTAAAGGCCCCTATTCACGTGCACATAAAATGTCAGTCACTGTCAGTACCGGTATGTGTCACAATGTTATCGTATGGGATTATATGTTAAATGTACAAGTATTGTTTGTTTGTGCCCAAATATACATATAATAGAGCGTATAATGTAATATTCTATAGACCTGTCACCCTTAACTTCAGAAATGTGGTCTGTGAAAGAGTAGCAAATATATACGAGTGTGTATGTATAGTAGATAAATAAATGGTAATATATAAACGTATCACATCAACCCTATTATTTGCAAAGCACCCTGTGTTGAGTTAGCTAACCCACACATTACAATGATCTATATGGTCTTAGTTCCACGGGACCACTGACCACTATAATTCGAGTACACGGTTTTATTTAAATTTTCTGTGGAAGCACTAAAATATTTTTTTTTTAGTATCAGATATGTTTCTTGCAAATATAAAGTCTACCGGTTCGAAAATAATTTATATTTGTGTAGAATACATAATTTTTATTTATTTATTTAAATACAAATTTTTAAGTACTAATACTACCAAAATAATCTGAAAAATTATTTAATTTTGAATATTAATACGAACTTATTTCATTCTTCATTTATCACTGAAAGCATTTTCTCGTCGCTACGTACTATCTCATTTCCGATAGAACGAGAACTAAGAGGACAGTGGAAGTGTTACGTGAGCAACTCGGATGTGCTCTAAATATCCAGCTTGTACAATGTACAAGGTATATACGAGTATAAACATGGTAAGAATGAAACTGTATTTTAAGATTTTGTCGCAGATTTTCTTTGAATTTTGTTTCTTTTTTTGGAGAGACGTTAAAGTTTTAAATAAACTATCTTTTCGGATTATTTCGCGGATTTATTTTGATTTTTGGTTCCCGACGTTTCGAATGCTTTACAGCAATCATGGTCGCGGGAGAGACTAAGGTTATCTGTTTTCAAAAGACATGAGAAGTCCGCCAACCCGCACTTGGCCAGCGTGGTGTACTATGGCCTGATTTCCTTCGTAGTAAAGGGAGGCCCGTGCCCAGCAGTGGGACGTTAAATAAAAATGGTTGAATACTAAGCCGCGGGTTCTGCTAGTATTATACTTAATCTCATTTAAAGCTTAAACGTTCAATGCAATTATTTAGCGGTACCCTAAAAGTCTTAGCTATAAATCCTAATGCAGAAGTTATTGCAGGGAAGTAAATAACACTGCTTGAACCTTAACTTGGATTTGAGAGTGCGTACCAATTTATATTGCTAATCTAGGGTTGACAAAATATTATTTAGGTATTGAAGTTTTCTTAAAAATATTTCGAAAGTAACAAAATTGACAAAAATTACAATATCTTGATGACATTTTAAATGAATATATGTATTGAGCCCTTTTTAACGTCCCACTGCTGGGCACGGGCCTCCCTTCAGTACGCGGGGAATCAGGCCATAGTCCACCACGCTGGCCAAGTGCGTGTTGGCGGACTTCACATGTCTTTTGAAAACTTGCTAGGTTCTCTCAGACGTGCAGGTTTCCTCACGATGTTTTCCTTTACCGTTAAGACAAGTAGTAATCATGTTGGAAATGATTCGCACATGAAAATATCAGAGGTGCGAGACCCGTGATTTGAACTCGCTTCACTCGGTTTCCCAAGCGAGCGCGTTAGCACTGGGCTACCACTGCCTTTTAAATGAATACTGCACATCAATATAATATGTTTTATAGAGAATAGGTTTAATATAAATAAAATCAGCTGCTTCTGTCAGATATTGTATAATTAGAGATGTCTATAAAAATTATAATCGCATTGTTAATTTCGTATTTGATCTAAAAAAATATTTTATTTTTATATAAATAACAATTATTACAACATATTTATCTATTTCCTTCGCGAAAACAACGAAAAGTGATTACAAGTATAAATAGCTTTCTAAAAAGATATTAAAATACACTAACACTCGTAAATGCAAAATATGTCGTATATGCGTGTATTGAAAAATGTTATTTAAGTGAAATTTCTCAATTTATGTTAAGTTCTGGCTACACCTTTATTGACGTGCGTACATACATATATCGCGAACAGATACGCGTGCACGAACTAGTTCTTTAAAAGCTTTGAATTATTGTAATAGCTTTTTATTGACTATTTTGACATTAATAACAACATTTTTTTTATTATGAATTTTTATTATTTAATTATGAAATACTCAGTGAGAAAGCTTAAGTTAGCCCTATTGTATCGACGGTGCTCTCTACTACTGTAGTCACTAAGCCAGTTGTGTTAAGTTCACTGTCTGTGAACGGGTGGAACTAGAGAACTGACTGTTTGCCTAATGCCTAAGCTACGGTACTTCTACTCATTTTATAACTTAATTTATAGTTATTTTATTGAAATAATATTATAGGCGATATATACTATTCTCATGTGAGTAAAACTTAACTGGGAGTATAATTTATTTATTAATATTTTTATATAAAACCATTTCAAGAATATATATTATAATTAAAGTTGCCAGCTGTGCTGAATTGTGTTTGTGCGGGCTATTCCCAAAAACTACTGTACGAATTTTACCCCCGTAGCAACAGAGTATGTCTAGAATATAGGCTATAATTTAAGAAAATTTTGTAAAATCGCTAGTTTTAATTAAAATAATTTCAAAATCACAGTTATACAAATTTTGTTCATAACAAAGCCAACAACCGTCCTATTAAAGTTCTTTCAAAGTAGGTCGCTCGCGCGCCGCCCTGTCTCCGGCCGCTAACGCACCGAGAGAGGAAATACTCCCGCGAACGTCGGAAAATCGAGATTGATATTGAAGAACAATGGCTTCGTGGAAAGGTAAATTGGATGTCATACACAATTGTATTAGATATTTACCTAGAATCAAATTTTATATTATATTTAGAATCAGTGCTTTAACGACTCTTTTGGATGAACGCTTTTCCGATGTTTTGATATAATAAAATTTCATTTGAAAAGTAGATTTATAATAGCAATAATTAAAGGTGTTGAAGTTTTAATGAAAAAAACTACTATAACTAAAACATCTACAACTTTAAAACAGCCTGCACAGTAATTTCAACCTGAAAATTTTTTGCTTGAAATTTTTATGGGACTCTTGAGGTATTATTATGAGGTGCCTACTCATAAAAGATAATCGTAAAAAGGCTTTATCA